AACAATCGCACCTCCGGTATCGCTGGCCGCCACAATGTCAGCCAACAAAGCCGCCACCGGAGCTCGACCCCGCCTAACCTCGTGATTCGCCGACGACATCACCGACCTCAACGACTGCCATAGAATGGACGCCGCGACTCCGGTCTGCTTCATCTTGTTCAGAATCCTGTTAATCGAGTCGTTCGATCTCTCGATGCCGGCCTCGACCTCCGAATACATCGATTTCCATCTCGCGCGGTGCTCCGAAACGGGGGCGTCGATGGAGGGCGAGACGGTGTAGGCTGCGAGAATGGTGGCGGCGGAGAGGGCGGCGATCAAGGAGGTCTTGGAGAGGAAGGCGGAGGAGGAGGGAATAGAGGGGGGAAAGTAACTGTGGTGGAGGGCGGGCGGGGGAGGGGCAGGTTGGGAATTCTTCAGATGGGCGAGGGATTCGGCAGGAATATCGGAATTTCCAGAAGAGGAGGAGGCGCGGCGGAGCAGGTGGAGGCGAAAGCAGCGTCGCGATAATCTGAAGTATCGTAGCATAATTTAATTAATTTGCCCCTTCTCCAATGCGTATACTTTCTGTTATGGCGCCGGAGACAAACTTCGGTGAGAATCTAAACAGAGGAAAACTGGTTGATTTTGTTCTTTTTTTTTCTTTTTTTCTCTCTCTTTTCTTTTTTCCTAAGGTAAGCGCGTGTTAGTAAACGCGAATATGCGGATATGCGATGACGTGGCAGAGTTCCGAATTTGATATGAAGAAATAAATTTTGATGGGCCTAAACCGTTTGCTATTCGTTAACTTGGGCTTTTTGTTTACTGGGTGCAATTTGGACATTTATTATCAATATGGGCCAATTTGGGCCCGAGTTAAACTCCCAAAATTATAGATATATTTATTTATTTATATTAATTGCAATTATATTCATAGAAATTATTTGATTGCCAAGATAATATTACCCAAGAAAAAATTAAATAGTTTAATGAAAATTCAATTATTTTATTGGACCACGTGACATTCTACATAATAACATAATATTTGCAGGTCGACTCGGTAAGTTATTGGAGATATCAAACATCAAACAAAGTCTGATTATTTAGAAGTAGGTAATAATGGTTGATTTCCTTAACCCCGTAGTGTACACATGTTTCTAATATTGAAGCAGTCTTCTTTTTTTTTTTTTTAAGAAATGCAATTGGAAAATTAGTGAAGACTAAAAAATCAAAATAAGTTACGTGGGGAACAACATTAATATTAATATAAAATGAATTATTATAAATAGTGATCATCTTCCTTTTATATGTATTGTCTCATCAATTCTAAATTAGCCGGCTGATGCACGCAGATATATTCAATGAGCAACTGCCAGCGCATACATAACAACTATTTTAACTCCTCCCCATGTACAATTGTATATTAAATATTACATACATAAATTAAATAAGCAACGATTTAATTAATTAGTCAATTACATATTATGCATGTGTTCAATATATTTTGAAAGAGTTCTAACTTCTAAGTACTAAATTTATTTATTTAATACATGGTTGATGCAGTCATAAGTATTTTTGTTTCATTAATTCATCATTTTATGTACTATATTTATTTAATATAGTTAATTACACATGTTTATTTCTTCTTTAGGAATTCCATACGTTATCAATCCTACTTGCATGCATAATTGACAACGTAGAGAGTGAAAACTAACGTTTGACTTTGCATTATCTCCCATGTGCATGCATGTATATGTACAATTCCACATGTGTTGAATTCGTATTTAATTTGACCAATTACACATATAGTAATTAATTGGTCTTCAAACCATATCTACAGATTAACCTAACCTTAAATTAACACTAATTAATTAATGACACGTAAATTAATGAGAATGTCTTGAGTTCGGAGAGCTATAAATATACATATATGCATGCTGTCCAAAGTACCAAATCAAAGATTATATCAGCTACCATAAACAACATTGTTTAACTTAAGTGTAGTCTTATATATACTTATTTGTTAGCTAATTATATTTCTAGATCAAAACTAAACCAATTAAGTGATTTATTTATTTGGGAGTGATATTAATTATATATATATATATGAAGAGGGCGTCGTCATCTCTTCTCCAAATACAGCCCCCGACTTACGGGAATTTGATAACGATTCTCAGCATCGACGGAGGCGGTGTTAGAGGGATTATTCCTGCTGTTATCCTTGAATTTCTCGAGTCACAACTCCAGGTATATTATATATAAATTGTATCATTTATATAATATATTGAGCTTTTAAATGAAATTAATATATAGTTAGATATAAATGCAATTTTTTGTTCAATTGTTAGGAGCTGGATGGTGAGGAAGCAAGACTTGCAGATTACTTCGACGTGATCGCAGGAACGAGCACGGGTGGTTTGGTGACAGCTATGCTAACTGCTCCGGACACGAACAATCGTCCTCTCTTTGCTGCTAAAGATATCAAGCCGTTTTATCTTCAAAACTCCCCTCAAATCTTTCCTCAGAAACGGTATCATATAATATAATTAATTAACTAATCGTTGTAACGAATAAAGTAATAATAATTAGTAGTGGTCGATCAATAATATTATGGGTTGTATTATTGTCTTTTGCAACGCAGTGGCTTGTTTGGATTGGTGGCGAAGACGTTGAAATCCGTGGGCGGACCAAAGTACGATGGGGAATACCTTCACCGAGTCGTGAGAGAGAAACTCGGGGAGACTCGGTTGCATGAAACATTGACTAACGTTGTCATTCCTACTTTCGATATCAAGAATTTGCAGCCAACTATTTTCTCTACTTATGAGGTGTCTTAATTCATTTACATGCATGCACTATTTTCTTGATTTATTACATTACATATAATATATATTTATATTTGTATTTAAATTGATGGAGTCTATATATATAATTTGTGCATGCAGGCCAAAGAGACCACGTCATCATCTTTAGATGCAAGATTGTCTGATATCTGCATAGGCACATCTGCAGCTCCAACTTATCTGCCTGCATATTACTTCAAGAACCAAGATAAACAAGGCAACACTCGTGAATTTAATCTCGTCGATGGCGGTGTTGCAGCAAATAATCCGGTAATTAAATATAAAATTAAACATTAATAATAATATAAATAAATCAAAACCCTAATCCTTAATTAAAACTGTGCGTGGATGCATGCATGCATGCTTATCTACAGGCTTTAGTAGCCGTAAGCCAAGTGAGCAAGCAAATATTTGGCAGAAATCCAGACTTCTTCCCTATTAAACCTATGGACTACGGACGTTTTCTCGTGATATCAGTGGGCACGGGTTCCGCCAAGGCGGAGAAGAAGTACAGTGCAAAAAGTGCGGCGAAATGGGGTGTTTTAGGGTGGTTGCTCAACGGCGGCTCCACCCCGATAGTGGATGTTTTCACCCTAGCCAGTGCCGACATGGTTGATTTTCATCTCTCTGTTGTTTTTCAAGCTCTTCATTCTGAACAAAACTACCTTCGCATTCAAGTAAGCTTAAAAAAAATAACAAAACCCTAATTTATATATATGTAGACTCAATTTTGTGCATGCACTAATTATTTCATGCGTGTTAAATATGTGTTAGGACGACAGTTTAACGGGAACGGTTTCATCGGTGGACGTTGCAACGAAGGAGAATTTGGAAAAGTTGGTGCAAATTGGGAATAATCTATTGAAGAAACCAGTTTCGAGAGTCGATCTCGAGACGGGTCTTTTCGAGCCGATTGATAATGGAGGCACAAATGCTGATGCTTTGATAGAGTATGCATGCATAAATATATTTAATTTATTGATCAGTCTTTTGATGAATATATATTAATTCATTCAATATATGCATATGTATTTTTTAGGTTTGCAAAATTGCTTTCAGAAGAAAAAAGGCTTCGGGAGTTGAAATCACCTGTGGTCCGCTGAAATTAAGCTCAAAACTATTGGATATTTGGATGTATTATATCATATATTATTGCTACATATACAGAATTTTCTGTTTATTATTTTTTATTCGTTTATTTGTTTCTGTATATATGTATATATTACATATCTCAGATCAGTCTGTAGGAAAAATGAAAATTTGTAATATTAAATATATATTGTGTGTCTGATTAGATATGGTCATGATTGTATTGTATATATACTATTCAATAAAATTTAAAATTTGTTTGTGATGTTGATCGATGATAAGTTACTTAATACTTTAATATGATAATTTACATGTGGGGTTGGTGAAGTGTCAACATTTTTCTTGTTAATTAACAGTACAGATAATAATATATAAAACATTATAAGGATCTCTTATACCTAACACTGCAACTAATATGTATTGTGATCATCTTTTTTGTTCTCTTAAACCTTCTCCACAAAGACTATTTAAAATTAGCCTTTAATTTAAGGTAAATTACGATAAGGAATGTAAAATTAGGAAAATCCCTCATATTTGGGTATAATTACAACCACTCCTCAATTATAAGTTTTTTTACACGTTGACCCTTATATATGTTGTCTAATCTTGTAAATTTCGGGGAATATTCTCTAATCCGTACTCGTTTTGTGCAAAGATACAGTTTTTGAAGCACGATAATCTGATATTTACAAATCAAGAAACACATCTTTTGATCATCTTGTTTCATAATGTAGAGCTCGAATGGACTAAAACGGGTACAAGTTAGAGAATATTCTATATTATGATCTAAAAGATTCAACTAAATTTAACATTACAAGGATAGACGTGTAAGAAGATTCATGCTTGATAGTTGGTGATTGTAATTATCCAAATATTAAGATTTTTTTCGTAATTTGACATCACCTCGGAACTATGCGAGGCGTTAAAATTACCATTTAATTTATTGCATATATATAAGCTAATCTATCGTTGTCATCATTATTAGAAAAAAGTTAATCTTGATTAATAATATATACTATCAAAATCAATCATACTTATTACAAGATCCAGCCTTTATTTTTTTTTCGAATTTTTTCTTGACAATTATAGAATATTAATTCCAAATACAAAAAAAAGAAAAAAGAAAAAAGAAAAAAAAAAATCATTTTCGATATATTATATTTATTGACCGTTGATGAACTGTGCGCAGCGCTTGATTAGAATCTTGGAATTCTGAGCCGTTGGATCCAAGATATGAAAAACATGGTCCTCGCCTTCTGTCTGAAAAAGCTCTGCTTTCATCTTCTTCTTCCCCTCCACCAAACACTGGTAATACAATTTCCCTCTCTCCCTCAACACATCGTTCCCGGCAACACAAACCAGAACCCGCCCGCACGCCAACCCGTCAACACCCGGAGCTCCGTCACCAAACGGGTTGATCCACGGGTCGTCGCACCCCCGATCCGACGGGCAAACGAATCGCCACCACTTGTCCACCACACTTTTGAAAACCGGATTCTCGGCCTCCACCCCGATCGCTTCTTCCCCCCAGAAATACGGCTGGACCATCAAAACGCCGGCGATCTTGAATTTATCCCCCAACTCCGGCCCGTGGGTTTCCGACCCGGCCCGGATTGCTAAATGGTGCGAGATATTCGCACCGGCGCTGTCCCCTGCCAGGAACACTCTATCAAAATCGGCGGACTCCCTCAGCCAAATATCGCCGCCGGTTTCAGTTTCCTCCGGCGAGAGGTGAGACGCCGCCCATTTTAGGGCGGCCCAGGAATCTTCGTAGGCTGCCGGAAGCGGGTTTTCCGGGGCGATTCTGTAGTCGACGGAGACGAGGAGGATCTGGGCTTCGTTTACGAGGATGTTGAGCATGTCGTGGTATTTGGGGTCGGCGGAGGATGATATGCAGAATGCTCCGCCGTGGAAGTATACGACTAATGGCAGTTTCTTGTGGCTGCCGGCGGCGGCGGGATTAATGGGGCGGTAGAGGCGGGCGGAGACACCGGATTCCGGCAGGAAAAGAACGTCTTTAGAGGAAACTCCGGTGTGAGGGTCGAGAGCTGCCGGTGTTGTTTCTGTGCCTATGAATCTCTCCACGGTTCCGTCTTCGTACACTCTTAAGTACGGCGGTACGTCGTGAACCACAGTCTTCATAATGTGTGTGTTTGTGTGTGAGAGAGAGAAGAGAGAGAGAGGGGGGGAGAGAGAGAGTTTGAAAATGAACTATAGGAGATATTGAGAAACAAACTCATATATATGTTAATTTAGGGGACTATTTAGAAAATATAAAAAAACAGCTCAGAGCTTTATTTATTATTATTATTTTTATTTATTTAAGTGTTTTCTTTTTTTTTTTAATTAAATGATTGAGGTAGAGTCATTGGGGAAGGATAATATATGTTTTTCTTTAAATTATGAAAACAAAGTTGAATGGTCAAATTTGGCGTAACTTTATCTAAAGCGCACTCAACCTGTTTGATATTGATGAATGATGGTGACATGGATTTTATAGACTTACACTTGTATTGATGAAGACTAAAAATGGCCCAAATAACGATAGTAATATGAAATGGGCTTTAAAGACAAGATGAAGAAAATAGCCCAATTAAGAAATATTTGCAAAAACAGTGTTGAGGTTTTCTCGGAGTTAGTATTTCAGCGGTCAAGTTAGTCGGGGAAAAGTGAAAAATGGCATATATCTCTATGAGAGGTAAAGAAACGTATATTGGTTGTAATATATGCATATATCCTTTTTATGTTCTATGGTTGTATGTATACATGCTCTCAGGATGTGGGAACCCCGTCTTATCAAGTCACGATGCACGTGCATGGTGACGTGACTTGTTGCGAGTTCATTTTACCCACTCAAGGCGATATGCTTTCTCTTTCTGTGATGTGGGCTGCTCTATGGTTGCTTTTTAACTGCTCTAAACGAGCTCGTTATTGGTTGATAGTCATCTTTTCGGTCCACGTCGCAGCGCAGACTTTTCGTCATTGTCTCTGGCATTAGGTCGAGTATAGTCAACCCACGTCCTAGTGTTTACACATACCATATGTGGAGCTATTTGATAGACTTTAACAATTATAGTGCATGAGGCGACCTTGGGTTTGGGTCGCCCTAGATTTTATATAGCGCTTTTAATTCAATCTGGGCCTTTAGGCAATTGTGCCCGTATTAGATATATAGCATTTTTTACCAACCCTTATTTGGAGAGTTGGTACTTAGCCTTTACCAATAGAGTAACGGCCTAGGGTTCGAGTCACTCCTCCCCTACTTCCCCTTGTAATAATAGACTTGAATTTACTCAAAAAAAAGATATATAGCCTTTTTTTTTTTTTTATTCTCCAGAAATACATTATGATATAATATGATGTAATTAATTAAAAATAAAAACATTAATATATATGAAGTACTAATTACAGAGGTTATTTGACAATTCTGCCACTACTCTTTATCCAGGACCAAGAATCAGCTGGAGATTTAGGCAGTGGAGGCAGCAATATTGCCTTCCTGCAAAGCCCAAAAGGCCACCCCTCGCAGTACTGAATCAACTCCGCGATAATCGATCTCCGTCGATCAAAATCTTGAAAATCATTAGTAGCAATATTCGTATTCATGTCCAAGCTCGAGCATCTTGACAAACGTGTCTTGGCCGAGGCAAATGCATCGTCAAAGGTTGTTGTGCCAGCACTTGAGCATCTGGACAACAAGCGGCCAGTCGCGGAAAAATACTCCTCCCCATCACCGCCACCACTAATGGCCAAAGCTGGAGGAGAAACAGCAGCCCAGTAGAAGAAGCTATGATGATCTGCTCCCATGATAATATTATTATTGCCCGACTTTCGTTTCGATTTCGACTCCAGGTACTTGCTTATGATTGTCGATACAAATATCTGTAACCAAACATCAAAATATGAATTAGATGAGTGTCGGACAGATAATTCATACATATATATATTATATATATCTATATATCTATACCTCGTCTTCTTGGTGGAAATTTATGACAGGCTCTTCTGTTTGGGGTAATTTTGCTCGAAAAGAAGGGAAGTTGGTGAATGCATATTTGAGAGATGAAGCAATGTATTTGGACCTCTTCGAGTGATTCGGAGGATCTTCTTGGTAAAACATGATCATGATAAATCGATAAATTATAATTTTGAGTGGAAATATGTACGTATATATATAAATGTATTGTGTGAGTTGGGTCTCGTTTGGAATCGTTTTCTGACATTGGCATCTCATCTTATTCAACATTTTTTTTCTGCTCTTGTTTAGTCTTTGGGGTGAATACCAAGTAAAGTTAGCAGCAGATAACGAAGTTTACCTAGATAACGACACTTTCGATTAAATAATTAATCTTGGAGTAACACATTTCACAACAACAACAAAAAAGTCCGAAAATGACAATTTTTTAAGGTTAATGTACAAGCATTGCATATTTTCGGGTTCTTGATGTGCTAATATTTGTCGCTTCAAGTTTCTTAACTAGAGAACAAATATGAATTATTCGTCACCGTTTAATCTTCAATTTCAACGAGGATATATAAGATAAACAAAGAGATCGACATAAATTAAACGTAACGCCCAAATTCAAAATTTCATCGTGCATTCCTTCCTAAAATCAAGAACCCTGCTATCCGTGCACAGAATTTTCAGGCAAAAAATCTCAAATACAATCTTCGTGAGCACAGAAAAAAATAAAGTAACGAAATCTGTGTAACGAAAGAAACAACATTCAAGAACAAAATCTAAGTTCATTGGCCACTATTCGAGCATCGTATAGCATTTGAAAAAAGTAATCAACTTCTGATAAGTGCTTTCGGTTTTGAAGCAGAAGCAACTGAAGATCGTACCGAAGAAGAAGCAGCCCGAGCGTACTCGAGGGCAGAAATAGCAGAATTTATCTCCGCCATAAGTGCTTCCGGAGCTATATTAGTTATGTTTTTCACATCTTCAAACACATTCCATTTATGCTTTCTTTCTCCACAATCCATCTTCATCACACACTGATTAACTAGCTAATTGTCGAATCGAACTTAATTATCACGGCAACGGTTTAATTTAGCAAACCATTTCTCCGAAATTCTAAAATAAGCCGTTAATGATTCTTTATCTAGTACTCCAAAATCTTGTTATCACCAGAGAACCTGCAAAATTCCTATTGCCAATGATTAGTTAATATTGAAAGAGATGACATCTCTCTCTCTCTCTCTCTCTCTCTCTCTCTCTCTCTCTCTCTCTCTCTCTCTCTCTCTCTCTCTCTCTCTCTCTCTCTCTCTCTCTCTCTCTCTCTCTCTCTCTCTCTCTCTCTCAAGAAACCCATTAATAAGAAACAGGCAAACAACGAATCTTCCATTCATCTTCTCAGCCCATCATTTTGTTTCCCCCAATTGTACTAATTACTAAACCACAAAATTCCTTAAAAAAAATTAATAATTAATAATTCCCAGAAAAACGGAGATGAAAGATTGTATAAAATCTGAAGACGCCATTGAAGACCATATTGAGAGCTCAAGCGTAGATTGAAATCCAAGAAAAGGGTTTGAACAGGGAAAAACTGACCTTTCAGAAAACGTACGATGATCATGTAATAATTGCTCAGATTCTCCTCAGGGTTTATTCTTCAAGTCTGTCTTGTTTCTGCTGTTCTTAAATTCTCTTATTTATTTTTATTATTATTATTATTATTTTTTTAAATCAAAGTAGGGGTGTATCACTAATTTCCCCTCATTTATTTATTTATTTGAAGTAAAATATATATTTATTTGGCCTTTGATTTGCCCTTTCCATTATTATGTGGTGGGTACTTCCGTAATTATTTGGACCATTTTATATACACAAATTTTATTGTAGATGTGACATATAAACGATGATTAATGATTAAAAAATAACACAATCTAATAAATAAAATCAAGATTTGGTGATTAACCTAATCTTTATTATTTATTAGATAATGAATGATTTGATACCATAAAAATTCCTTTCTCAAAGTTGAATCAGTCTCATCTCATCATTCAGCAATCAATACATTATACATACAACCAGCTGGCATGAATATGCATTCCAATCCTATAATTCAAGAAAATTAAATAATCATGGCATTATGTGACCAAATCAACTAATTCTTCCTATATATATTTGGCAAAAAAAATTCAACTATTCGGCAACTGAGTCTCGAGCGTAGTATTCCCGTCAATTAATAACCGTACTTTAAGTGAGCACGATCCACACGGAAGAATAACCGACGCAGCTAAAGATTCTGGTGTCTGTATAGAAATTTTACTCCCGTTCCTCGTAAACAGACACCCCATTTCTACCAACTCAGAGGAATCAACTGAGAAGTAATCACCACATCTACAATGGTAGTAAAGTTCGAAACAACTGTCGCCATCTTCAACTGACAGATCTTCTAACTGGATATCCTCTGCAGTTACAGTATCCTGTCTTAACGTACGCAGTTCGTTGTCATAAAGGGCTCGAGATCTTGGATCGGCGAGTATTTCCCAAGCCCTTTGTACTTCTAAAAATTTATTCTCGGGTTTTGGAGTTTCTGATGTTGTTTGCAGTTTGTCTGGATGATAATTGAGAATGGAGGATCGATAGGCTTTGCGGATTTCTTCGTGGCTAGCATCTTCTTTGATGCCGATAATCTCGTATTGGGTTTTCTGGATTAAATTGTTGCTCAATATCATGACTGCTCAGAGTTGCACCCAAAAACTTTTTTTTGCTGCAGGAGTATCAAAACATTAACCGATGAGAATTTGCGGGAATTTGAATAACGAATAAATAGAAAGAACTATAAGGCACAAAAATAAATAAATAAATATATACTTTCCGCATGAGTTGGCCTCACAACACCAACCTCACTTGTCCATATTACACGATGGCCCTCTAAAAAGTAAAAATCTTCTAGAAGCCGATCACAAGTTACGATAACAAATTCGAGCAAATCACTTCTAAGACCCAAACACCAATCTAAAAAACGACATAGCGATTTTCATCTTTCACAAGATGTATTTGACATGCCAAAGAACCCAAATGAGTAACCACGGTACTTCACCGAACTAAAAAGTACAGTTGTTAAATTGAACTAAATAAATTAGGGTATTCAGCATCATTCGTCATGCCCGTGTTCAACTAACATAATTGTTTATCGACTAATATGAACGGTTATTACAAACTGGTAAATTTCTTGAGCAAGACCAACAAAATGCTCGACAAAATAAATTTAGTCAGTTAACAACTATCTTATGATTTACAAAACATATCTACCTACATCTATGATGAATTCAAAACTAATCCAGAAAAATATCCTTGGTATAAATATTAACAAGCCCTAAATTATGCATTCTACATTCCCATTCAACATAGCAGGAAATCGAACAAACAGAACCTAAAAAAATCTGAAATTACCTCTTCAAATAGTCAAATGGGCATTTAATCACAGTTTACTGTACCCAATCAAACAATGAAGCGAAACAGAATTATCAACTTTTTCAACAATTAGTGCGCATGACTCGAACAAAAGAGAAGGAAAGCTAGGGTTTGAGACCATACCACGATAGCGACAAAGCAAAATGAACAATTACTCCAGCCGGAGAGGCCGCCGACGATAACGAGCTAACCGGCGGAATTAGGTCTGCTGTTGATTCGAAGAATTAGGGCTTTGATGAATTGGAATTGGGCGTTTGGCATGAGACGTGATATATAACAGTCATTCTAATTGGTCAAAGGTGAATCCACTTATTTTATTTATATTGTTAACTTATTTTTCCACAACAAAAAATAATCATAATCCTTATATAATAAGATAATATAATGAATTAAATATTTGTAATTTCCTAAATAATATTTAAAAATAAATAAATCAAATCTTGTAGATCATCTAATCAATGTATGCTACATATAGTTCTCAATTTGTATTTAGATTAAATTTTAGGCTAGGTTTATTAATAATAATTGAAATAAAGAAAACATCATAGACTTTGCAAAAACTAAAATAAAAGTGCCATTAAATAAAGAATGAAGTTCGTATACAACACGTGATTAGTGTAAACTTCTAGTCTCAAATGTCAATTATTGCAAAACAAATTCCCCCAAAAAAAGGTTGTTCCGGTGTCCGAGCTTTTTCTCGAACAATAAAAATGGTACCGTTTTTGGCTTCCGCGATTCTGAAAAATCGAGCAGCACCAAGCCCTAACTATCGTGTAATAAAAAAAGAATAACTAATCCCCGACATGACCAAGTATAATAACATTAATAGCTACCCGAACTTTTCATAAATACTCCATTATGCAGCAGATAAATTCGTCAGACGAAATATGTCACACGCTCATGACACCAGATACCCATGGAACAATAACCGGTGCATTCGGGTGTGAATCTCTATATGATTCCGGATATGTGTCCTTAAAATTCAATTTCGGTGTCTCTGCCTGCAAACAAAAAGAAAAGAAAAAAGAACCCCATTCGTAACATATTTTTTTCTACATTAAAATATATAAATAAAGATAGCAGACTTACATATTTTAGCCAGCACTCTTGATTTTTGTGTTCGTAAATATCTGGAGAGTAGCATCCAGTTTCAGACGGGCAGTAAACCCATATATTGCATTTGTTTTCACCGGGTTTAGCCCGTTTAGCGTGATCCAAACAAGACATACAACAATCGTAAGCAGACTCTTTGTGGTGCGTAAGGCCCCACCTCACAGCAGCACCATCATAATCAGTATGAAGTTCACCGTGGCATTCCGGAGGTAACTTTGTGCCTGGTAATATCTCCTCTTCTGAAATTCGGAAATAAAATTTAGCCAATTCATAAAAAAAAAAGGATAAGGGTATATTTGGAATATGAATTTATAGGCCAAGAAAATGCTGAGCTGTTACCAAATTCGTCTTCACCCTCGGGTTTATCATCGTGTTCTTTATTAATGATTTGAAGTGGTATCCAAAGACCTATCTCTTCTGAAAAGTCGGACCAATCAGAACTCAGTGCTCTTGCAACAGCACCTGCAAAACGGGTTTAAAGGGAATTCAAATTTTATATCAACTATAGTTAGTTACTCGTACGCTAAAATAATAATACCACATTATCTAAGAGTAGTTAATTTTGTAGTGAAGAATGATCGTACGGGCTTCTTCGGGCAAAATTGTCGAATTTAAGTATTCTCCTCGGTTAAGTTCTTGAACTTCTTTTATTTTTTCTTCGCGCCAGGATTCGACAGCTTCTGTTCAATAGATAGAACACCGACGAAAGAAAAAAAATCAGATAGTGGAAAATGCAAAATAAAAGAAACTACCTCACTCGCCAGATGTATCGTATTCAAAATAGCTTGCAAGAATCATATTGATTTATTTCATTTTCTAAAGACTGGTCATGCAGGACCAACTCCCATTTCAACGAAAAAGAGGCAATTAATAATGATACGGTAAACCAACTACCTTTAGGACAAAGCACATTAGGTCTTTCCTCGATCATATGCTCTGTAACTACCTGAAATTCCTAGTTGTGGTGCCAAATTATTTTATTTGGGCGTACTATGTCCTTCAGACACATTATTACTGGCCAATAAAGTTAATCCTGACACTATATTTTTTATTTACTTCAGACATAGTCTTATATTTTTTTTTCTTTCGTGCAAAAATTTATTCTATGTCTGATCAAGAGCATAGATTATGATCCAGATTGGTTCAGTGTATGAGAATTTTGAAGCTCTAGAAGCGGACATGTTGCAATTGTAAAGCAGAACCAACCAGTTACGCACAATATTAAGATACGAAATTTCATGTTGAAGCATATTTTCTTGATGATTTGTACCAACAGTATATTCATAAATCCAATCTATGTCTTTAGGGATACCCACTATTGTAAATAGTATATAGAATGAAACTCAAAAGAATTAAGGGTACCAAAGATGCAATAATGATAAGATGCAGCCATGATTACATTGCTAATATTTAGTGTTGGCATATGCTAGATAGATACGAAAATCTGCAATCAATAAAGTTAAAGACAGGCGACGAGAAAAAGGAAAGTAGCAACTAAACTTCAAGAAAACTTCCATCGGATCAAGTTTAAGCTCTTCCCTAAAGAAAAAGATATAACTCCTAGTATCGTAGTTTCAAATACTTAGTTATCACATTAGGATGTTTATCTTCCTTCGTCTCATGCATAGCTAGTCACTATCTTAAGGGAAATAAATATAACAACTGTTGTCAAAGTTGTCTTAATTCCTAGAAGCCACGATTTCCTTATTGACGCTAGATTCTAAGGTTTTTAAGTACAACTGCTAATCGTATTGGTCAAGATAATTGCCAAGCAAACTGTACAAGTGACAAAACTGCGTATCCTAGAAAATCGAGAGGCTATACTAGAGCATAAAGTTCATGTTTGAGAAGTTGAGCAGACGTAGCTACCGAAAATGCTGTTATCACGAAATAAGATACCGAACTAGTGTCAACTATGTCCACTTAATTACTAGCATATTCTGAAAATTATTCAATATCTTCTTCCTTAATCACTTCTTGAAAAACTTTTATGTTCTAGTCTTAAGCACGCATAAATTCAACAAAATAAAGAAATTCATTCTGTTACTTAAAATGGGCATTTTCTATATTTACGTTTAGCCCATACAATTTGTTTTGCAAGGTTAGATCTATCTATCCACCTTCCTTCCCCTTCGCTTTTCCTTCCAATCAAAAATTAAAGAATCTCCGACCAATACCCCAACCAAGACTTGGATCTAAATTTTGAGAACGATATAGCCTAAATAGTAAATGAAAATCAAAGGCGGGACCCACCTCGTTGCTCCGTTACATTAGCAGCAGAATCCAAGCTTCTCAACCTATCTAAGATCTCGTGCACCAACTTCTGTCTCAAATGCTGAGGCAGCTCCACCGCTCTTTCTTCATTTACAAAGTTTCTCTTTAGCCGCGTCACCTTCAACCACAAACAAGATACCCAATTAACATAAAAACAAACCGCGATTAAACCGAATAATCACAAAGCAGTTCCTAAAAACGAAAATAGGGGATCTCACCAGTTTAACAAGTTCCGTCGGTTCCGATGCTTTTCGTATTTGATTCGCCTCCTCCATTTTCCTAATCTGATTCGGAGTGTACTTAACTGTACAACCAAATCAAAGTAAATGCAAAATCAGCCGAAAACATTCCTAAAAAGGAATTCAAAAGGACAACCAATATAATTTCAGAAAATCAAACTATAATCAGCTGCCAAATTTCTAGGTTAATAATTAGGGTTACAAAAACATTAATTAAGCAAAAAGTAATTACCGGTGCGGTAATCACCGGAGTAGATGTAGAGAGAAGTGCAAAGGGAGCGGAGCACATAGAGAGCAACAATAATGTTGACGGAACAAACAATGAGGGTTGTCCTCTTGTACGAACACCGCCCATTATGCAACCACTCTCCTCTCGCCATCTCCACCGCCCTCCTCCTTCAAACCCTTCTCCATCCCATCATCACTTTCTCTCTCTAAAAAATATCTATTTTTATCTGCCTAGGTTTCTCTCAGATTGTGGATATTTTATTTTGTTCGGTTTGTAAATAAATGGATCAAAAATGGGATCGATCGCATCAATGCTCACCTTTGCTGGTAGGTCTCAGATTAATCCAAGATTATATATATTTTATTTTGTATATATATACACACCTGGGGGCGAAGCTAATTAGGGGAGTGTGTAGTTTTCTTCATTACTGGGTTTGATGCTTCGTTAATTGCTTTTATTTGGTGTTTAGTCACTTCTCATATGAGAATAATGATTGTGATGCATAGGTGGGGGTTTCCTCTAACGTGCGCATACGATGGGCCACTTTATGCTAACGTGTGCTGCTGGTTGTTGTCCCTTGCAATGGAAACTTACTTTAAAACTGTTTTGTGTAAATTACACCTACACCCCTTAGATATGCTAAAATAACTTTAAGGTTCTTGTAATATTGGTAATTACAATAACCCCTAAAACATTGTTAGAAACCCTAACGAAATAATGCATTGGATAATTTATTCGGTTAGGGTTCTAACGAACTATTAATTTCATACAGTGGTGGAGACAACATAGAGTTAGGGGGTGACATGACTCTCCTAACATTTCTTAAATTCTTATTATTTTACATAAGATTTATAAATTTTCGTCTAAGGTAGCATTAATGGCCTCACGGGAAACAAATATAGTGTGTATCGGTCCCCAGGACATGAAATCTTGGCCCCGATAATTGTTTCAGGGGTATAATTGTGATTATCAATACCATAAGGACCTTAAAATTATTATAGCATACTTCAGGGGTGTAGGTGTAATTTACCCAACTTTTTTTTGTGGAATTGAAACATATATAGGATTTGGATATTTTAATTGATTTTATTTTTCAAAAAGAATGATTATCTTTTCCCAAAAGTTAGAATCATACAATCAATATAGTTTTTAAAAACATTTGAAAAAAATAATTAAAAAAAAGCAATATATATATATATATATGAATATCGCCTATTTCAATTTATATTGTTTTAGATTTTTAAACAAGTTTTTTCATTCCAAATTTTAATTTTTTCAAATAAACTGATGAAATTCTTTTAGCTAATTGACCCTTATTTTCAAATATAAAATATTTGAGGGTACTAGTGCTATGTGTCATAGTTTAAAGGTGGGTAATGTCAAATATGTAAGTATTTGGGATGTAACTGTCAAATAGGTATAGTTCAGGGATGTGGGTGCAAATAACTCATTTTATATCTTCTGATCGAAAGAACGCGGGAAATTATTAGGGCATACACTCCAGTCGCTGTTACACCAGTTTCCCCTCTTCTCCACTAATTTTCATCTCATCTCTTCGCATTTCCAAGATGGAGTCAAATGACGTGGAGGATGAAGAATTCGGGTTCTCGAGGAACTACTTCTTAGCTAAAGAACTGTGCGGTTCTGGCAAAAAATCGGCACGCAAACTTTCCGAAATCGGTGTCGTCGACGAACAGGTATTTTTTTGGGTGCCCTTTTACCGTGTGTCTATCTGATTTTCCGATTAAATTAAGGTTAAAAAACGAGTTTTTACACTGTTCTTATAGGAGCTAAGAGATGCATACACTAAAATCGAGTCCAAGCACGAGAAAGAAATCGGCGATTTGGTGAGCAGTTACAGAAAATCTTACTCGGAATGGGCTTTTGTACTGAGGTAACTTAATTTATTTTTTTCTTTTGTTTAATTTGAGTTCTAGGCATTTTTGCTCAATGGGTAACTTTTTCGCTTACGAACAATTTACTTCTGTCTGAATTGTTTTTGGACAAATGTGTAAAAGGTGTGGTTTTGGGCTATTGATGTATGGATTTGGCTCAAAGAAGGCATTGATAGAAGACTTTGCTTCAACAGCCTTGACCGATTATTCTGTTATTGTGATAAACGGATACCTTCAATCGGTCAATCTGAAACAGGTATAGATCACTTGTAATAATTTTTTCAGAAGATTTTTTCTTTCCTCGTTCTGTTCGTTCTTTGGGTTCAGATGTAGAAGGTTCGATTCTTATTCTTAGTTATATCAGTGCTTTGGGAGTAAATCAAGGCACTGATTTTTGGCGCCCGTTTGTTTTATAAATGGAGTATGCCATCCTATAGCTAATCATAAGATCTGGATGTTACTAATTTGTATGAGTTCCCGAAGACACGAGCCCGCTTGAAAATTATCACGTGTTATAAGAATTACTGTTAAGGTTAACTGAATGTATCCGTAAGTATCAAATCTGATAAATATATGGATTTCTTATGATTCTTATTGCTGTACGAGTTTTTGGTTATGCCGTCTAACAAGGGAAGAATTATCCTGTCGGTAATTATACGTGTGGTCTAATGAGTTGTCGTATGGTTAAGGCAATTCAGCGAGTATCTTTTTTTATGCCAAACAAATCATGGGTGTGGAACTTGTAGGTTGCAGTTACGTTAGCTGAACTCCTGTGGGAACAATTGAAAATGCATCGGAAAAGTACCTCGGAAAGTCAACCTAAAAGCCAGCAACCTTTTCTTACCCGGTCAATGGATGATCTTATTTCATTTCTGGACGGGCCACATTTGGAGGATGACGAATGTTTTGTTTGTGTCCTAGTTAACAATATTGACGGCCCAGGTTTGCGCGATTCCGAGACTCAACAGTATCTCAGCAGACTTGCAGCTTGTTCTCATATACGCATGGTGGCTTCAATCGATCACGTGAATGCACCTCTTTGTAAGTAAAATATGGCATTTTTATTCTTTTTTGAAATTTTATTTAATATATTTTGTGAACCCTTTTTCTCGTGAAACTTTACTTCGATGTTGTTTGCGATTAGTGTGGGACAAGAAGATGGTCCATACTCAGTTCAATTGGTACTGGTACCATGTTCCGACCTACGCACCGTACAAGGTTGAAGGAACGTTCTTTCCTCTGATTCTCGCACACAGTGGCTCTGCACAAAGTGTGAAAACCGCTTCGATTGTGTTACAGAGTTTAACACCAAATGCTCAAAGCGTGTTCAAAGTTCTTGCAGAACATCAGATAGCCCATTCCGAAGAAGAAGGCAAGTGGCTACGTTTTTATTCCGAAGTACTAATAAATATACTTTCGCAACAAAAAAAAAAATTATCTTTTTTTTTTCTTTTTTTTTTTTTTCAGGGATGCCGTTTAACAATTTGTACACAATTTGCCGAGAGCGGTTTCTAGTGAGCAGCCAGATTACTCTAAATGCTCATCTGACAGAATTTAAGGATCACGAGTTGGTCAAGACGAGAAGGAACGCTGACGGTGAAGATTGCTTATATGTTCCTCTCACAAGTGAAGCACTTCAAAAACTTGTACAAGAGATCACCCAATAGATCTTCGCTTCCAACGAAACTGGTTCTTATGTATTTTAAACATGGTTTTAGGATGATGTTCTGCCAACGTTGTATTTCTGATAAGGGTCCTTGTCATTTTTATTGCTATTTAACAAGAAAATGGGTTAGTGACAATTGACAGAGACTTATTTCTGAATTTTGGGACTTATACTTGGTAAGATGATGATGACGTCATGGAATTACTAATTAATGCTAATAAAAACCCCATGAGGTTGGGTTATTGTTTTATGTCCAAATCATAAAAATTATATTTATTTTATTTATAAAACATAAATAAATAGGAAAAGGTGAAATATAATAAAAACAAATTAAGTGGACAATATGGTAATTATGCATAGAACCGGGCCCCTTCCCCCAAAAATAATATGCGGCACGATGTTCATGGTGCAAGTGGAGATAAAATAAAGTCAATTATTGACTAAATTATACCAATATCCATGGCACCCCATAGTATATACATATAAAAATGAAATAGTAAAGAAATCAATGTTGATTTCTAAATAAACCACACCCCCTTCCATCCCGCTGTTGAAAACCCTCTATCTAGATTTTTACAATTCAAACGCCATTTTCTCGATTCTAGAGAGAGAGAGAGAGAATATGTGGGGATTTGGGGGAAGGTATTATTGGGGAAGAAAGGAGATGGGGAAAGTGGAAGGAATAGTTGTGGTGTTCGCATGGATGTCAAGTCAGGATAAACACTTGAAGAATTATGTCGATCTCTACCACTCTCTTGGATGGAATTCCCTCGTTTGCCATTCCCAATTCCTCAATCTGTAAGCTCAATTCTTCAATTCATGCTTCTGAAATTCGCAATTTTGGGATATTTGAACCGCTTGGTTGATATTTCATGTTTTCTGGGTTTCATATTTGTTTGATCTGACACAAACTTCACTGCCTAGTAACTTTTACTTGTGGTAGCTTGAGAACTTAATTGCGGATAAGGTAGTTGGAGGAGATGGATACTTCAACCTGACTTATTTAATTTGTAGTAAATGAATGAATTGAATTATTCATTCTAATGGAATATTCTGCAACTGTATGGAATCATTATTCAACTTCATTTTTTTTTTGATTGGGCGGAATAGTGATGGTCGGCTGACATTTTTATGCAGAGCGATATGTTTTATCAGATTGAGATAATATGTTATGTAACAGTTTTTCTGGACAAGTTATGTTTTGGTGCATCTATATTGTGTTAATTTGTTTAAACGAGAATATATTGTCTAGTTTTGACTGATCTGAAGCTTAATCTACTGTTTTATGTTATCGAACATTTCATTCTTAACATCTATGTCGCTTGAATTTGCAGATTCTTTCCAGATAAAGCTGCATCGTTGGCTCTAGAAATCGTCAATGAGCTAGTTCAAGTTAGTCACATAAACCTATTGTTAGTCTTTCACATTTTAGCTCATTTGTCGTTGTAAAAAATATCCTTCTGAGAAACAGAGGAAAACTAAGTTCAAACAGTTTCTTGTTTGTTCTGATAGCATATATAATTGACTTGTTCCTTGGAGCAGCATCATTGCTGCTCTGTTTAGTAATCTACATAAATCCCGGTACCTTAATTAACATATTCGATTCATTCATTCCTTTATTTATTAATCTGTTTATTATATTTTCTTATGCAGGAGCTAAAACTCAGGCCACGCCCTGTTGTCTTTGGATCCTTTTCTGGTGGCCCTAAAGCTTGCATGTACAAAGTACTTCAGGTAATGAAAGTCTATTTACATTTTTGTTTTATCTGTTCACGTTTTCTATTCTGGAAACAAACGAACAAAAATCCATCTTCCTTTCATTTGTTTGCAGATAATTGAGGGCAAGTGCAATGGACATATCAATCTGGTATTCTATGTTTCTCACCATCCTCTTAATATCATATTTTTCCATATTTACACACTTAAAAGATTTAGTTGCATACTGTCTGTTGTATGTAATATGATCGTGCTAATCTGAAATGACAACTTAATTGCTATAACGGGCTGTGATCTTCTCGTATGTTACCCTGTTTAGGATGACTACCAGCTCGTAAGAGATTGTATTTCTGGCCACATATTCGATTCTACTCCGGTGGATTTTGTGAGTGACATCGGTACTCGTTTTGTTCTTCATCCATCTGTTCTCAAAATATCAAGTCCTCCACGTCTGGTGTCATGGATTGCAGATGGAATATCTTCCACTTTAGATACACTCTTCCTTAGCAGATTCGAATTGCAGAGAGCCGAGTACTGGCAAACTCTATATTCCACAGTTGTAAGTCTCTATTAGATTATATAAATTTGGAGTTGCCGTTTAACTATTTTTTTGTCGTTCAGTAATAATACTATTGATTGTTTTTATTTTTTATATTTTTTTTAGAGCATGGGGGCTCCATATCTGATATTGTGCTCGGAGGATGATGATCTTGCTCCATATAAAATAATCTGCAATTTTGCGTCGAGGCTTAAAGACCTCGGAGCTGAAGTTAAGCTGGTTAAATGGAGTACCTCATCTCACGTGGGTATGCTTTTAAACTCGTCAATAATATATTCATTATTCTTTTGTCCATTTAAAATAAAATGCTAAATGTCGTTTCAATTTTACCGGTACCATTTCGACTTCAAATATGATTTTAACCATTTTTCAGTCCGAATTTGGCAAAATTCAAGACATCAAATATATAGTCTATTGAGTTGTCTTTCTAATACAACTTGAATTAACTAGATTGGATGTCGGTTGAGAGAGTTATCCATGAATGAGTTACAGTCCGAATCTCAGAAAATTCAAAACATAAAAGTTGTAGCCAATGCTCGTTCATTCATCTCTCTCTCATCCAACATCCAATCTAGCTGATTCAATTTTGATCAGAAAGCCAACTCAAAGTTCTACAAATTTGGCGGTTTGATTTTTGTCAAATTCGGGCTGCAAAAGGGTAAAAATCACATTTAAAGTCGAAACAGTACCAATAAAAATTGAAACGACACTAAGCACCTCCACAAATTCATTCATGATATGCAAATAGTCATTATCAATACTATTAAATGTTCAAATTCTTTTATTTTTTGGGTTTTGTTTTTGTCAATAGAAGTGGTTGAAATGTTTATTAATGTATCCTTTCATACATCGTTCCCTCAGGCCATTTCCGAAATTATCCAGAAGAATACAAGGCAGCCGTGACTGAGCTACTCGGAAGAGCTGCCGGAATATACTCCCAAAGAATCCGACAGCTGGAAGGGGAGAAGATGGGCATGGAGGGCCCACGTGACGAGATTTCCGATCCATTTTACAATCTCAGAAAAGCAGCTGCTGCAGAATCGAGCCAAATCTTCCAAAAACGCCCCTTCGACTCAAGTGATCATTATTTGCTCCCGACATCTCTAGAGTACCACGAGGATAAAGACGTTGGATATGAACATAAAGAAAGTTACGTACAATTAGCGGGCCCCCCCAAAATAAACCCCCATGGGGTTCTTGGTCATTTCCTCTTCGATGCTTGTGTACCGAAGAATGTTGAAGACTGGGATTTAAAATCTTTTCAGTCGTTAAGAAGGAGGCACTCGCATTTTATTAATCCGATAAAATGCATTCGTCGCTCGAGATTGTAGAAGCTTCTAGTGGGATTGGTTTGGAATTGAAAAAAAAGTTTTATTTTTCTTTTTTCTTTTTCCTTGTGTACCCACTGTTAACTTTCAGATTATTGAGAATGAGAATAAAGATGTGAATTAATTATTGTTATTATTATTTTATTTATTATTATATGAATAAATAATTTGAGGTGGGTTTGAAAAAGGTGTTCTTGTTGCAGAAGTAAATTGAATGACGCGTTAGAGACGGACCAAAAAACACTAATAGCGGCTAAAGCGCTTTACCACCAATGTGAATTTGAACTTTAGAGCTCATAATTTCTTTGATTTAGTATTGGTTTAATTTAATTTCTTTTTGGCAAATTTCGTTGACTATTTATTTTTTTTAATTTTTTTTTTTTGTATGGCAAGATTTGATAGCTATAATGAGTAGCCTCCACGTTAATGTTTATGGAAAAAATTGTCTAAAGTCTCATGCAAGTTATTAATACGTGATTGGGCGACTTATTTTCTAATTTTTATTTTAAAAAATGGGACCCACCTTAATACCAATTTTCTTTATTTTCACAGTCAAATGTCTATTTTATTTGCATATAATGTCTTTTTTTAATTTGAGAAAAATAAACAAGTTACTCGCTCGAATAGAATTTTTTTGAAGTTATATTAATCTCACTATAAATAATGATATATCTAACAAATCGAATATCTTATTTTTCATATAAATCATAATTTGGATTGAGAAATATTGATGTAATAATATCCTTAAATAATACCAGTAGGGGCATAAGAGGAAAAATAAAAAAAGACAACCTTTTCACAACTCAGATTCCAGCTTTTCTTATTAACACCGAACAAAGGCAAATAATAATGTGGATGATGAATTTCGGGCATTGTCCGTTGTCAATTTGTCGCCCTGCACATGAAAAACACACACACACACACACAATAACAAAAGTCCACACACTTTCCAATTTTGTTGTTCTTTGTATGTATGTACATATATATATATATATATATATATATATATATATATAAGAACATACACACAATTATTTATTACACATATCCTTCCCCCAAAAATAACAGAAAACAAAGGAGAAAAAAAAAAGCCAGAAACCATCAGCATTAACATTCTCTCTCCCTCTCTCTCTCTCTCTCTCTCTCTATAAGGGACAGGAAAACGCGCAAGAATCGATTCTCTTACAGCGTTGAAACACAGAGAACACCGCGATCTGCGTTTCTTGAAGAACCCATCCCGACAAAGCATTATTTTCACTATTTCGTACGTTTGTTTTCCTTTCCTTCTGTTTTTTAATGAACTTTCAATTTCTGGAACGAACCCTTAATCTATTTTCGTGTTTAAAACCCAGTCAAATCCACATTGTTGCTGAAAATCGATATCTTCCGTTTAATCTTAGAGTAATGTGATTTAAAAAAAAAAAAAAATTTGTGTTGTTCTGATTTTTCGTTTCCCCCCTGTGTGTAATAAGGATCTTAATTTTACCGTTTCACATTTTATGGATTTTATATCAAATTATAACGTAATCTTCTCCTTCTGATCATCTGATCTTTTGAATTGTTTTCTTGTTTGTTCACGCCTTATCAGATTTACGTTACCTGCCTTCTGAATTTGTCTGATTTTTTTCGTGTATCGATTATTTTGAATATTTTATTGATTGAATTTAGGGGATTCAGACGATACAAGCAAAAAAAGGGTCGATTTTCGTATTGCGAAAAGGGAAAAAAAACAACAACAGAACCTTCTATTATCTCTGTGTTATTGGGATAAAAATCGGGGGCAAGCAATGCTGTCGAAGGGTGATGAACATCATACGGTCCCGTTATCCGTATTACTAAAACGGGAATTGGCCAATGAGAAAGTCGAGAGGCCGGAGATTACACACGGCCAGGCCTGTCAGAGCAAGAAAGGCGAGGACTTTACTTTCATCAAGACCGAATGTCAGCGTGTTTTGGGCGACGGAGTCACCACATTTTCTGTCTTTGCGGTATGATCACATATATAATCGATCCTTCTTTTTGTCGACTATTTAACGCATAATTCTTTTGCCTTAATTCGAGCATTTGATGAGATATTCGTCAATGCAAAATGTCCAATTTTTGTCTTATCTCACCGTATAAACGCTTCCTGGTTTTTGTCTGTTATGATTGTCGGTAGTTGCAATATATTATCTGTAATTTTAGATTTATGAATCGCATTTTATTTTAGATGTATAAACTACAAATTTCCCCCCTTTTCTTCAACTTCTTGAATTCAAGAAATTGATTGTGATTCGAAGAATCGGTATTTCGAAATGTGCTTATTCTCGTATTGCATTGCATTACATTGTTATTTTATTTTTATTTATTTTCTAAAATCATGTCGCAGTTACTCGATGGGCATAACGGATCTGCAGCGGCTATATATTCAAAGGAGAATCTGTTGAACAACGTATTGAATGCTATTCCTCCAGATCTCAACAGTGACGAATGGGTCTCAGCTCTGCCTCGTGCTTTAGTTGCCGGATTTGTGAAAACTGATAAAGATTTTCAAGAAAGAGGTATAAATTCTTTTTGAATCAACAACCATCAGAAACTATTCTATATGTATTATTATATTCTGTATGTAACTTGCTCATTTCTTGATCTGGTAAATGTAATGTTTCAGCTCAAACTTCTGGAACAACTGCCACGTTTGTAATAATCGAGGGATGGGTCTTGACAGTTGCATCGGTCGGTGATTCTCGTGCCATTCTTGAATCTGCTGAAGGTGGTATATATTACCTCTCTGCAGATCATAGACTCGAATGCAGTGAAGAAGAGTAAGTAATTTAATTTCTTTACAAAAATAAATTTTTTAAAATTTTAATTAATGTATTTTACCCAATACAACACACAATTAGATTATCGAGCAATTTGATTTTGTTCCATGAAACAGGAGGGAACGAATAACTGCTAGTGGCGGTGAAGTTGGCCGCCTTAACACCGGTGCTGGCACAGAGGTACATATACAGATATACGTACATATTACACACACACACACACACACACACACACACACACACACACACACGCGCGCGTGTGTATGTTTATTTGTTTCATGTATATGTTTCGTTGTAGATTGGTCCATTAAGATGCTGGCCAGGTGGATTATGTCTTTCACGATCTATCGGAGATATGGATGTGGGAGAGTTCATAGTTCCTGTACCTCACGTAAAGCAAGTAAAGGTTTGTATTTTATTGAGTGTTTATCTATATTTTTCCGAATTTTTTAATGAATTTCGCTCAAATGTTTTTTTATCTGCAGCTATCATCGACAGGTGGCAGGCTAATTATCTCGAGTGACGGTGTTTGGGATGCAATATCTGCCGAAACGGCTTTCGAATGCTGCAGAGGGATGCCTGTAGATGCTGCTGCTTCACAAATTGTCAAAGTAATTTAAAAAAAATAAAAAATCAATGATAAAGATTTAATTATTTTTTTTCCGAAATTAATTGGTAGCGTCGGTTTCTGCAGGAAGCGGTGCAGTACAAAGGTCTTAGAGACGATACAACATGCATAGTAGTAGATATACTACCCCCGGAAAAAGCGGACCCACAAAAACCAGCACCTACGACAAAGAAGCAAGTCAAAGGAGTCTTCAAGGCTATGTTCCGGAAGAAGCATCTGGAATCTTCTTCTCATGCTGGCAAGGAAGAATATTACGAACCCGATTACGTGGAGGAAATCTTTGAGGAAAGCTCAGCTTCGCTTTCCGAAAGGTCAGAGTATATAATATAGTGAATAAATATACTAGTGTCTAGGGGTGTAGATTGACACAGAATTTCCGAATTTGGAACAATATTTTGCATTCCGATTTTTTTGAATTTTTTTCAATTGGAATTGGAATATAAATGAGATAATAATATCCTGTCCGATTTTAATTTCCGAAAAGTCCATTTTTTGCCGAAAATTTAGACCTTGATTCAAAATTAATATTTTACATCCTAGATTACTAAAAATTGAAATTTTCCGATTCCGCCTGTTCCAACTTCCGAAATTCCGGTTTCCATTTTTTTTTCTCCGATTTTTTCGAAAGTGCTAGTTCCGATCCGATTTCCGCCCCTACTAGTGTCCCTGTTTCGGAAAACTTTAATTTTGACAATTTTTTTTTTTTTATTGATATTGGATGATTAATTAATTACAGATTAGACTCAAAATATCCAGTGTGCAATATGTTTAAGCTGTTCATGTGTGCGGTTTGCCAAGTGGAAATAAAACCGGGAGAAGGTATTTCGATACATGCTGGAACAGCCGATCCGAAGAAACTAAGGCCATGGGATGGCCCGTTTCTTTGCTCGAGCTGCCAAGACAAGAAAGAAGCTATGGAAGGGAAAAGACCTTCCGGAGGTATGTATGTATATATTATATATATACATCTTTTATATTAATAATTCATTCAAAAAAAAAATCGAAAACCATGCAGTTATAATTCAAATCATGCAGTTACGGCTATAAATTCTGTTTGTTTTTTTTTTTTTTTTACCAGCTTCCAGGTATAGTAGTGGAAGTGATGACTAGTTCCAATCCAATATGAGTATCGAGATGTGGGAAAAAAAAGCCGATTTGTGTCTCCATAAGCTGCGAGGATCATAAATAAAATTTGAACCCTTTTTGTGAATAGACGACTAAAGATATATACCAACAGAATATTACAGCTTCGGGTTTTTTTTGTTCGGACAAGAAGATGGAGGTTTGTAGTGAGTTCGAGGCGTCCAATGAAAATGTATAAATACGAGGTATATATATTTGCCTTTCATAGTATCCTTGCTATAATTATTAATTACCTTTGAAACAATCTGAGTACAATTTTCACTTCAAACAAAAGCTTACAAGTGAAAGCTTATTATCTGTTCATTGTAATATCGTCATACGTAGAATAGTTCGACTATATAGTTCGTCGGGATTTCTTCAGACAGCGTAAAGATTTATTCATTGTAATATTGTTTTTTTTTTCTTTTCTTAAATGAGGAAGGTGAATATTCACAATAGAGATACATTCTTTTATGTTTATTATATGTGTGCTGTGTATATATTATTTGTTATTACGGATTTGAAATTCTTTATAAAATGAAATATAGTATGCAATAAAAAAAACATGGTATGCAACAAAGATATCACAATCAATTCACATATCCTTTGTGGGAAAACCTTTATTTATTTATTTAATTTTGGGTCTGTATTTATTATGATTTTCTCTAAAGACAGAAGAGTCTTAGGAAAGACAGGCCAGGCTTGCATGCATCGTGACATGGGACAAAAACTATGCAATCTCTCTCTCTCTCTAAAAAATAATAATAAAAAAAATAAAAAATAAAAAATAAAATTGATTTTGTTATCTTTATGTTAAATAATAGAAAATGATTTTAAGTGGAGAAGATGAGTCTGCAAATAATGCTTGTATGAATGTGAAATGGTAATGGACCTTTTTATTAGCAAACAAATGTTTTCTTGGTCAAGGTTAACTAATTGGACCATAGTGTACACGTGTGTGTGGGGACCCCTTTTATTCCACTTATTAATTCTCATTTTTTATTGACTAATATATACCTTGTAAAATGTAAACACTAAAGACATGATAATTGAATATATGTTCACCATGTTAAGTACTTACACTATATACATATACATATACATATATATTATATATATATATATATATATATATATATATATATATATATATATATATACTTTTTCGATATTTGTATAATGAAAGATTCTTCTTGAAATATATGCATTTTTTGAAGTAAATGACTTTTCAACTCGAATCAATTCTATACAAAAATATGAGGACAAATTAGTACCTTTCGCCAATTTTCACCAATAATTTGATTCGTTGTATTTAAATGTTAGCTAATTTGGTGCTATTACAAATCTTTTTTTTTTTTCTTTAAATAATACATATTTAATACGGGGGTCGAAACCTTAAACAATAGTTATTTTGAAACATAATTAGTAACTAGAGTAACTAATTATATATGCATGTTGATATAATAATAAGGCCCACCACTATTTGTATCTTCCATCCCATAGCCACCACATGCCCTATTGTTACACACCATTCAAAAGACAATTTAACAAAAACACTCAATATATAGATACAACACCACACACACACATAGAAACTCAGCTCACATATCTAACCAAGAAACACACACACACACACAAACAAGAGAGAGAGAGAGAGAGAGAGAGAGAGAGAGAGAGAGAGAGAGAGAGAGAGAGAGGAGAAAAACACCATCAAATGCTGATAGACAAACAAGAAGAGAAGCTACTCAATCCACCACCACATTCATCATCTTCCACGTCATCATCCTCTCCCTCCCATGAATTCTCCTTCACCATCTCCCTCCACCCATCCGCCGCCACAAGCACCATCCCGCCGGAGAAGAACAACAAAGCTCCTCCTCCGCCGCAAGTTGCCGCCATCGACTTATCTCCGGCGGACGATATTTTCTTCCACGGACACTTACTCCCACTCCACCTCCTCTCGCACCTCTCCGCAATCTCGCCACGCTCCTCGACAAACTCACTTGATAGTTTCACTCTACCAATAAAAGAATTATCATCATCATCATCCAAAGAAAACAACAACAACACAAGCTCGAATATTCATCATCATCATCAAGAAAGCATTCTTCTAGAAGGAAAAGCCAAGCCATCAGAAAAACCTAAAATACCCTTCTCCTTGTTTGGATTGCCAAGGTGGAGAAAAGGAGATAATCACAATCAAGAACACAACACGAAGCAGAAACCGAAACCGAAACCGAAACCGAAATCGAAATTCGATCTTATGCAGAGGTACATGAGATTGATAAAGCCATTTCTAGTTTCGTTTAGATCATCAAATAATAGAAGAGGGAATAATAGTACTAAGAATTTCTCTTTTTCCGGCGATATAAAAGCGGTGAGAAGCAAGAAGGGTTTGTTGAAGAGGGGTAGGAGAGGGGAATATTCTTCTGCACCGGCATCAATGAGAACTTCACCTACAAATAGTGGACTTTTGGTGCAGGGTGCAAATGGAAGTGGAAATATAACTCCTACTTATAATAAAAGTGATAGCACCATGGAAGAATTGCAGGCTGCTATTCAAGCTGCCATTGCTCATTGCAAAAGATCTATTTCCACTGAAGCTGATCATTAATGAACCAATTAGCTGCCATTATTAATGTACTTGTAGGTTTGTTATATATATTATATGTAAGTATATATGTATGTATATTGCCTTGGGAAGAAATTTTTTACTCAATATATTGATTTTCTATGGAATTCCAAATAGGGGTTGTTTTGATGGAGTTAATTTGCCATTTTCTTGAAATGCATTGACATGTTTTGAAGCAATCTTGTGATCAACTTATGGGTAATTAGATGCATGATACGCATATCTGATTATTTATACTGGGTGGATTTCAATTGTATATTTTACACATAATAACATATATACATACATTTATGTGTGTGCGCGCTTCATTAGTGGGTGGTTATTTAATCAGATTTACGGTTGAAATCTAATCAGATCGACGCGTCTCGTCTGCCAATTGACAACTCCGAAATCCTAATATTACACAATAAAAACAAAAATTACATGCAAATGTGACCACACTATTGGAACCTCATCTCAATCAGGGACCAGTTTTTCACTATTCAAACGGACACACACACACACACACTAATATATATATTAGAAGAGATCGATGCATGATGGTGTATATATCTATATTATAAAAGATATAATTAAGATGGATAATATATTTTAGGCAATGACTTCAAACCCTAAAATGGAGTGTGCATGGGTCTCAAAGGAAATTTGTACGAGACTTTTTAGGATTTTTTATTTTCATTTTAAAATATAAATTTAAATTCAATATTATATAGATATATATATATACACTTACACGCATTAAATCTCTCAACAATTAGTGTGGCTCTTAATTGGATGCTTTTTAATTAGGGTGATTAGGATTCACAGTAATGATTTTATGAATGATATGTGAGTTGTAAAGACTTGTGAATAAGCAGCCATTCATTCTTTTCACTTATAAATTAAAAGAAATTAAACAAGGATATATATTGTGATTATTAATGGGCTCGATAAAGGGAAAACTAAAAAAAAAGGAGGGATGTAACGTTTATTAATATTAAGAATTTAAAGGCAACGTTATTGCTTCTTTTCCCAATAAAAGGAAGAAAATAAAAAACACAGATGCAAAAAGTATTTATCAGCAATCAAAAGCCCCCTTGAACAAACTCCAAAATTTAAATTTCCAAAAAATATTTTCATATTTCAAAAAATACAAGGGATTGATTGAATTTAATATTTTCATCCATAAAATTTTCCAAAATTATCTCAAATTTTGGAAATTGTCTTTTTAATTTTGATAATTTTACATATTTGGTTTTTTTATGTGTATACTATTAAAAATAAAAAATCGGGGGCGCTGCCCCCGAATTCCCGTAAATTTTTGTCCACATTTTTTATTAGATGTGATTTAGATTTTTTTAATATACTCAATTTCGAACATCATTGGTAAATTTATGGACCCGATGTAGACACGGTCATGGGCCGGTTTTCGGCCCGGAACCGGCCCGAACCAGCCTGTTGACGAACCGGACTGGTCCCGGAACTGTGAACCGGCCCGTGCCCCTCGGGCCGGGCCCAGTTCTAGAAATAGGTGAACCGTGCAGCCCGGCGGTTCACCCGAAATAAAAAAAAAAAAAAACTGAAAAAGCTTTAAAATTTGAATCGGCCGTTATTTGCTCTTTTTTGAAATTTTTTTCCCCCATTTTTTTCCAATAAATACCCTCACACCCCATTTTTTCCTATAAAATTAAGTTCAG